TAAACTTGTGTTATGTTGCATGGTATCGTCATTTGAAGACTATGGTGGAATATTCATTCTACGTCGAAAACGATTCACTGCGCATCCAAGAGCTCGAGTGTTTTATTTATACGGCGCGTACGTGCTCACCGGTAAACACACGCGGCCACGTGAGCGGTGGACCAGTTCGCGCTTCAATCTCAATGAGAGAGAGAGAGAAGTATGGAGTTTAAAGTCATTCCTCAGGAATAGATACCAACAAAAGACACTCGTTCTAGGAAACGGAAACCTTGCTGAGTCGATGGAATTATTTTAAAATTGTGTTGATCATGCATTATAATCATCCTATAAAGAGAGTCGTCAAGTCTCCATCTTCACATTAACTTGTAATCTCAATAAGAGTAGAACGATCGAAATGGACTTCTGCAAACTCAACGCAATTAGCTCTGCGGCAGGCTATTTACCAACGAAGAAAATGGTGGATCTGGAAATGAATAAAGAATATCTAATTTCCCAAGTGAAATGGGTCAACGCAAAATTTAGAAAGCGCATTGTTGCTGAGTTTCAGAAGGAATTTCACATATTCCTATCAATGCGCATCGTAAAATACTGTTGGAAAAATCAACAGTGGTTCGAAAATTTGCAGAAAACTGAGGGAGAGCAAACCATTCACTTGCGGTATATAGGAAGATCATCACATCAATGTGAATTTGTAATGAAATCCTCCGGAATTGGCTAGAAAACATGATATTCTATAATTCAGCTGACCATATGGTATGGGAATTCTCATAGTAAAATTCGAATTATAAGAATCACAGAAATATCCTATATATATTTTTCTGCCTACATGCGCCGAAAGTGAGCATTCTAACCTCACTTCGTTCGGTTAGAAACGTCACTTTCCCCGCATATCGACAGAAAAATCGTATGCAACCCTCGGGAGGAATATACTATAAACCTGCATATTGTAATGGGTATTATGATTATGGAATACCATCATGTGAATTGTTCAAATATTAATAAAAGTACTAAGAAAACGATTGAGAGAAAAAACTTTCACTTGAAATGTATATATTTATTGGCCCCCATTCTAATTACTTTACATGGTAGATATTTAATGTATATTAAAATGTATAATGTGATTAATGCATATTAAAATGCAATTTTCCCAACTACTATCATCGATCTTCATCCTTATCGTCAGAGTCCTCAATCGTGATGATCTCGACAGAGGATTCTCCCAACTCTGGCGGATCTACAGATGGAGCGTCCCTTGAATCGGCTGAAATGGTAGATGATGCTGCATCTGTAATAGAATAGGAATTATTTTATTAGTATTTTTACATGGAGCAAGTACAAATGGAGTCAATTAGAATTCCCGAGATAATGCGTTGGGTGTTTCGATTTCTATGTGCATTATAGGGATAAAATTCACTCATCACTGCTGTCTGGTAAGTGTGGCGGGCCAAAATGTAGAACGACATCTTCATCTTCATCCTGGATGATGGTGCATGGCATACCGCATGAGTGAGTGAAAGTGTGGTGAGACCTGTTGAGGTAATAAAAATTACCACGTGGACAAATGATAAACTGTCCGTCCATGTCTGCAACCGTCATAATCACCGTCATATCCGGATTGTAAAAACTCTTTATCTCTGCCGTTGTCATTTACAGCTCATCGTGATTCATGTGGCTGCGCCAGTCAACCGGTGCTGTGACTGAGGAAAAACTCATTCTCCACATTGGTAACATCTGAAGAAGAAGGAATCTAATTTAATAAACTGAGCGTTTTTGAAATTTAAAATGATAAAAAATTGCAATAATTACTGGAAAGGAACTGTGCACCCTCCATTCATAACCACTCTTTAATGATACTGAATGATACTCACTTTCACCGAAGATTCTTTTAACGACGAGATTGATCAATTAATTAGGGTAGAAGTGTGAAGTGGAACTGCGAGGGGAAGTCTGACATACTTACCATAAATGTCCTCTTCATGATGTTTCATTTTTTTTGATCCATTGGTAACCATCACGTTTTGTGAATTTGGTTAACTAAAACACGTCGACAGCGAAAAATGAAAGAATAAACGAATGACTGGATGAAGTGCAAACCTCGTTTCCTACGCGTTCCTATTGTTCTCTGGAAGAGACTACTGTCAGGGAGAAATTTGAGCGTGCACACTCTCCAGAAACATAACTATGCAATGCTCAATATTTTGATTATATTTTAAATCACGTACGATTCCACGTGTCGTCACCATTCAAGGACGAGAATTATTTTCCCTTTATCTCCCTTTTACATTTCTCATAGCTAAACATGCCCTTAATGCTGGTAACAACCTGCGCAGCAGGCTAGTCTGTGGGAACCTCGGCTATGCCCCATCAGGGTCCGGACTCTCGTACATTTCGGAGGAGTTCGCCGCCTATCGCAGCCTGTCCAATGTCACAATTTTGGAGGCCAGTATCCCGTTGGGACCCCCCCTCCAGAACAATTCAGGCGATCCGCTTCATGGGACATTCCCTCATCCTGTAGGATTGAGTCCTGGAGGTGCACTTGGATCAAGTGTTCCAGGATGTCTTCTGACTCGGTGATGACCACGCTACTTGGCTGCACAATTCCACTCGACCTTGCGTGGCTCCACCGGAGAAGACCCTGCGGATTCTAGCAACCTCTGGTAAAGCTTCCAGCTCTGCATAGAAGACCCACCATGCGGATTCCTTCGATCTTTTGATGAGATTTTTATACTCTCTCTGTACTACCCTGTACTGAGTCCAGTCGTCGTCGTTCCGACAGAAGCATGCAACTGCAAGGCTGTGTGTCAGCACGGCAGTCGCAGTTTTCGCAAGTTGTAAATTAATCCGGGAGCGTCGGACGAGCAGAGAGGTTATACCGCCCCACCTATCGTCATTCGCTTCCGCTCTTTCGCGCCTGTAAGTCGACGGAGCGCCCTTATCCCTTCTGGCTTGTCTAAAGTGCTCTTCACGTCGTTCTTTCTCTGCCCCGGATGAGAGGTGCCCACCAGGGCCCAGGTGCGGGTCCATTGAGACCCTTCCCGTGACCTCACCGTCTGTCCCCTACCCAGGCCACGTCCGCCCCCATTCCTCCGTGGGCGCCTCCTTCCCGTGGGTATGGTCATCGTCAAGGGAGTCCCGCTTTCGGCACCAGTCCCGGAACTGTCCCTGTTAACGCATCGGAAGCCGCCGCACCATGCACCATCCACCGCACCAGCTTTTTGGACCACTGTTTGGCACAGGCGTCAGTGTTGCCTTCAGTCCCAGATCATTTACTTTGCAATGAGAAGGCGATGGTTCCGCTTGGTCACCCAGCCGAGCTCCGGGGAATAGCCGTGCCTCCGGTTAGGCCTCCAGTAGTCTCTGCCTCAGCAGACCCTTCCTTCGACCCTTCGTCTTTCGCCGCCGTTTCCACCTGGTCCCCTGGCAGCGCCCCAGGTAATTCCCCGGTCATCCCCCTGGAAGCCGCCAGTATTCCGTCAGAGAGGGCACCATCTTCGGTATTAAAAATTTCATTAATTTTTGGGTCTATGTAATTCCCAGGAAACTCCTGGGTGAAAAAAGTCCAATCCAGCAGAGCCTGGAATACTGAAGTAAGGCATACATAGAATGAGGTGCTGCCTGATGCGCCATTGGTATCATTCGAAACACTGTTCCCCAATGCCATTCACCTTAACTTGGAGAGTTGGGAAGTGACGGTGTCTTAGAGCGCCCTGCCAGGGTTTCACCCCCTTGTTTGCTCGTATGCCTACCGCTACTCAGGTTCCGATAAGGACCAAGCAGGATCCAGGCCCGAATATGTCCGGACAACCGTGCCTGGTCCCGCCAGCGCCTGTCTTTCTCTAGCTGTTCTTCTATTCCCCACCTGAGGACGCACCTGGCTGGCACTCAACCATCCCCTCCGTCAGTTTAGGAGCCCGTCCAGGGCCAGAAAAATTTGGTTATCAATTTGAACTGAAACATGGAATTGAAGGATAATTAAGATATGTAACTCTAATGAAAAAAAATTGAATACACAACTAAACAGACCTATAAACGGATAAAAAAAATATAAAGGAATATAAGAGAATTTTCCCCGGTCCGTTGAAAGAGAACTATCGGGGGGCGCATTCCCCAAGTCATTCGCGGAGAGACATGACCCTCCGTCCCACGTTTCCAACTCTCCTCTCAGGTAGCTCGACGCTGTAGGAGCTACAGACTACATGCAAATCCGTCTCACCCGGCAGAGTGCTAAACATCTCGAGGTACATGCGACATTCACATCCGGAGACCTTTCTCACCCATCTAAGTCCCTCCAACTTGGTTGATGCTTAGTACCAGTAATCTCACCGCGAGCCGAACCTCGAGCTCCTTTCTATATAGGTACATGCGATTGGGCCTACGGGAATCGACTCGATTCCCAACCCTTAATTCACTCCAACAACATGAGTTTCACCCTGGAGATGGGTCTCTGTGGCCGAAAGCGTTCGCTGCGCAGTCACCAAGTAATCCATTTCACTAGTCGGGGACGCTTTGCGTCCCCTTCTCTCACTATCCCGAGCCAATATGGAAACCCCCTATTACATCAAGGAAAACTTCGGAAAATTGGGATGAGTCGAATTTTTTTAATTATTAAATTTTTCTTCTAATAAGGCAAATAGATGGTTGAACATTATTTTTGTGCAAACATCTTTAGGTACATCAACTGCAGAACTAAATTGTCTTTAGAACGGTTACTTATTCCGTGTTTTTTGCTTGTCTTTTATTCCAACATGTGGAAAATTCATGGAGACATAGTACACTGTCACCTGGTATTTTGGCTACATTACTTGTTCCTCGAAAGTTTACGGAATTAGAGCGAATTCTCATCAGACGGGACGTTACCGTCGAAAGCAAGAGTCCTGATAGAGCACAGGAATTACATTAATTTTAATTCATTTTCCTTCAAACTCAGAATCACGCCGCACTGCGCTCCTTTATTCAGGAAACTTCGAAGATCAGTGCAAGGCCGCAAGATGTCAGCGGACTCCTTGGTTATTTCATCATAGAATGACTTTGGACATGGCCGTGGATGAAGCCTCAATCCAGGCGGCATTATCACGGATGTAACGCATTTTACCGAAGACGAGGCTAATGGATTATTATTGGATAAATAGGACGAAAAAAATTGAAAGAAAGTTACTATTCTCGCAGGGTAGTGTTCAACGCATGGATTGTTTTGGTTTAATTCAGGCAACTCTGAGAATTTATTATAATTTATTATGGACAGGAAAAATCCAGCTCAGGCATCGGCAGATTGTGAGCGGATGCGTTTACAAGTAATTGTATCTGCGGGGAAGGCTGAGTAATTGGCACTTTTGCATGATAACGTTGTCACCACCAATCACTTTTGTTACCCCGGTCGCTACCTGTTGCGTTGCGTTCACCTGCTTTGCCAAAAAACTTTTGTCGTTTGGTGCAAATAAGAGACGGACCTCTAATGACTTTGATTGTCAAGCACCACAGAGAGACGTCATTCCTCACGGCGGTAGGAATTTTACGAGTAGTCGAAGATATTTCCTCAGTTTTTAAGTCTATATCGGGTCTTTGGGCGAACGTGGTGGCCGTTTCTTCTGTATTATTAATTATTTTGTTGTGGATTCTGATTTCTTTATTGATGTTTACAACATTCGAGTCTTACAGAACTATTGGTTGCAAATTTGCATTGGAGAAGTTCTGGTCCTTTCGATCAGTGAATTTATGTCTTTCTCGGGTAAATTTTTCGACAGTATTATTTTCTTGAATCGGTAGAGTGTTGCGACTTTTAGAATTTTGTCGGTATCGTGAATTTTCATAATCTTTTCGCCATCGAATCTTATTCCGCCTTCATATATTCTAATCGTAGTGTCACCCCGAAATTATTTATATTGGAAGATAATGTGGATTTATCGAAGTTTTGAGTCATTGAATTTTATTCTGATTTGTAACGTAATATTTTCACGGGGAATGAAAAATGCCCATTACCCTCGCCCTACTTCCCCTAAGCCTAATAAAACCTGCTAAAATTTAACCTTATGGGCGCCAGGTAATTTTTGTCCGGAATTATCAAACCGGAAAAAGTCCTTAATCCTAATCTTCACTAACCTCAGCCTATTTAACTCGTTCCTAACCCACCCCGAAGGGGGGGAATTCTATTTTTCCTAAAACTAACCCGTAATTTATTTACCTCGATCTCTCTCTATTTCTTAATTTTATTGGGGATTCCAACGGGCAGCCCCAATGCTCGTTACAGATTATTTTCATTGACACTTTTTGATTAATTTCAACTTTTCTTAACCTGTAACAACTGAGTCTCATGACTCAGTTACTTTTTTTTTTCTATTTGAAATTCATGGGCGTCAGATTTTTATTATCCTAGTGATATCCCCGTTCATCTTCTAATGACAATTGAATCTCTATGTATCGTGCTGTTGGAGTTATAGAGGCTGATCTGGTGAAGAATTTCGACGGTGGTCATTCCGTGTAATGTAACTATTTTATTTTAAATTTTGGTTTTGAGAGTGTTGGTAGCAGAGGGCCGGCACAACAGGTGCATAAATCTGTGTTCCTACAGAAATTACGTCACTGCTCGTAAAATTGCAAAAATTGAAAATTTTCATTCCATGATGAACGCCATTGAAGAGTATGGTAAGGAAACATCTCATTTTTTTCTATACCTCTGTTTATTGATGGATTTTATCACTATTCATCTATGCTTGGCCCGTAGATAAGAGTTTCTTCGTCTTCCAACAACTTCTGTTGGTGGAAAAGTTATTAGTTTTCACCTGATAGCGTTTTTTGTACTTTTTGAACTTCGAGCGTTCTACCGTAATACTTGTTCGCCTTCGGATCCTCTTGCGTAGGTCATTGCTGCCATTCCAATGTTATATGCCAAAAATTTCATCATCTTGAAAATATCTCTGAATCCATGATTGAATAATAATTCTGCTATAAAAGAAGCTATTCAGACCGGTTTCAGGCCACAGTTCACCTGTTCAAGAGCCTACGGCCAATAGTGCCAACTAAGTGTATTGAAACATCAATTGGAATTCTGCTTGCATTCGACCATGTATCTTTTCAATTCATCTTGTATCAATAAGACTTCATACATTCAACGGAGCCAATTAGATGCAAATGAACCAATGCATTCGAGCAACACTTCCTGACCTGCTCTGCGTGTAGTTGGCAATGAAATGCATAATCACTGGAATTTCTCGAATTTCAGTATGAACTTTTCACCGTCGATTATCTAATTATTCAACTTTCGATTAGGGGATGAAATGTCAATCTTTTAGCCATTTATATAAGGATATCCCTTTAATGTGTATAATTACTGAATGGTGAAATGTAGAAAATCACTCAAAATTAAAATGCTTTATTACAATGAAGAAATGCATCAAACATTTTTTTGATTTTTTCGACACGTCGTCTAACTCTTGGTACATTTCTACTGTTGCTTTTTCTTTCACAGGTATCAAATTCAGACAGTCACGAGGTAACTCTCCTCAATGTTTCCAGAGAAATGACCGGATACTATAAATGTGAAATTACTGAGGATTATCCTTCATATCACACGGTGATACTCGGCGGTCGAATGCAAGTGGTGGGTATGTACAAATCGTATTTGACCTATTTTTCTATAAAATCCTCATTGAAAGCTCACATACACATCTTCAGATTATCTCATTTCGACCTTAGTTTCAAATCGTAGTAAGTTTCGAAGAAAGTCAGTCAGTAAACGGAACCGTTCGAGTCCAACAAATAAAAATTAACAAAAAGTGATAGCCATGTATTTGGTCATAGTCCGAGCTTTCTTAATTTTTTAAGATAATTATTTTGTAGAGGGATAAATGATTGAAATTAAAAACAATGAACAATACACTAAGATTGGCCGGTGGTCTCGTTAAATTTACCAAATGTTTATTGACTATTTATTGAGTGTAGGATGTAAACAGACAATGCATGAGTAACCCGCGTTGCGATACTCGGATAGTATCTTTCGTTTTTCCTCAGTCATACTAATTTTCTTTATGAAGTTTTTCTTGTCGAGTTTTTTCCATTCCTGACGTGATTTCTACTGGTTTATCCCGATAGTCACTGTGTCAACATTTAGCTCATATTAGCTGAAGGTCGAGTACGATACAGGCGAACAAGCTGAGTATACATGTAGGTTCAGAACTTACAGAACCGCAGTAAACATGTAATTCGAACCGTTTCTCCTCACGTTGCTTCATTTAAGTTCATAATTTCCGACCTTGGCCGGATTTGTGTGTAGCTGTCAATGGGAATAACATTGAATATCTTCTGCAATTACTGCCTATGACATGACCCAATGGAACATGCGTGATGTACAGAGCAGAATATGTGAGGGAGGATGAAGAAACGAATTTGCATTTTGTTCCATTTACCAGCATATTTCATGATTCATCGATGATCTCAAAAAGCAATATTATTCAATTCGGTCGAAGATGAAGCTGAAGAGATGTTCCTCTCATCACATTCGTGTTTTCCCTGTTACATAATGCCAATTTTGTTGTCTACGATGTTCATTGAAATCGATTCAGTCACGACGTTTCACATGGAGAGTACGGCCGGGTCGCTAATCACTTTAAAAAACTTTAAAACATGCGTCTCTGATTAACGCGTTCTGCGCGTCCATTACTCGTATTACTCGTATTTCGACGCCCCCCAGGAGTAGAGATTTTGGTGTAGAGTAGAGATTTGGTGTGAAGAGAGTGTGTGGAGTGAGATAATGAAGAGAGACGTGAAGGAGAAAGTTTGCAGAGAAAAACGGGACTGAAGAGAAGGGTTCTTGAGGTATGGAGGATTTGTAATTGGAGGATTACTGAGAGCACGTAGAAAAGATTTTTTGGAAAGCAGAAGGAGGAGCGGGAGGAATTCCGAGAACTGGAAGGACGCCATCACCTGTGGTTGCCCCATTTTATTTCCTACCGGAACGAGTTCTTCCGACCCTATATTCACTTATTAATCTCCTGTTAGCGGCAAGCCTCCTCATTATGATCACTTTCTTTTTGTAGGATTGCAGTCCCCTAATTCGTGGTCATAATTTCCAATCGTACCTCTAACTTCTCTCCCCTCATGTGGGAAACATTAGATTCTCCCTCACGGTATTGCATTTTTTTCTCGTAACCGCAAGTTAGTTGACCTTACTCCCAACACTCGATCTAGTGATTACTAAGGCAGGCCCAGAAGTAATTTGGTAAGTCATTGTTAATTTGATACACGGAAATATCCTGTAGATTAGTTACACAGTAGTCCCCCCCAATTTTACTATTTATTTGAGGATTAGAGGATTAGATTAGAGGATGATGCATGAGAGGATCGAATAATTACACTCGCGGCATTGATAAAAAAATATCAACGTTTAATTGTCAATGAAGTTACTCATTACACTTGAATAAGTCATGATAAATGAGCTGAGCAAAAAACGGAATATAATTCGAATAATTATTGAAGTATCTCCGTGAAGTACGAATAGTGAGCGGGTTAATTAAAGAGAAGAGACAACGTTCTAAGGAAAGCGCGAGAACACTCTCGAACGACGATATGCGAATGAGAGTGATTACTGGGTCGTGATTCGTCAGGTGATCCAGTGGAGAGAGGGGGAGAGATGTCCAGTTCCCTGTCCATCAAGTGGTATCTCAGGTGTAGAGGTGAAAGACCACTGGTCATTTTGAGACTAGCAATACGATCAACTGAGCGAGTAATGTGTCTGTGTGTGTGTGAGAGGAAAACTCGGTAGAAACCCGAATATACTCCCCCTCCATCAGCAATTGCTGACGTTATTAAGTTGACCTAGAACATAAAAGAGATTAACCGACCCAGAATAATAATTAATCGATGGTCAATATCACCACTAGAGTGCATCAGCGACGATCAATTGCACGTACAGCCAGAATCGTTGGTGTCGTAAATTTCGCGGATCCAAACCAGCTTGTGCTCCAGCTCAGGCTCCAAGATAAAGGACGTAAATCTTCATCACGGTCTGGTTAAGAACAGAGCAGTAGTGGACCTAGCCATGGAGAGTGGTGCCACTTAGAGACGGACTGCAGATGCTGAAGGTAGCTAGTGGACCACCGATTACAGACGCTCTGAACTTTCTGCTAGATGAGCTACCAACAAGTTAATCGAGAAATGTTTAATTGATCCAGAGAAGGTTCAGACAGAACTGTCAAGGCATGTCCAATTAGGAAATGTCCTGCAGTGGGTGCTGAGACGTCATCAGAATCTTCTGATAGAGGTTCAAGTGAACGAGAATTGAGCACGGCTTCGACTTCAGCAAGCAAAGTGGTTAGTTCCTCAAATGTGAGTAGGTCTCCTCCAGTTGTCCGTTTAAAATTAAAGTGGTTAGTTCCTCAAATGTGAGTAGGTCTCCTCCAGTTGTCCGTTTGAAATTAACCTTAACCGACTTAACTAATGCCTCCCACTTTCCTCCGAAGTATGGAGCTCCCGGAGGGTTGACAGACCACTTCGTACCGTCGTTTGAGCAAGACATGAGGAATCTGGTCCGATTCCTTGGAAGCCATTGAGAAGAGTTTTTTTAAAATTTTTGGTCGGCTCCGAGGAAATCTATTTCACAATCTGAGAACAAATTCTTGCAGAGCCCGCGCCGAGCGACAAAACGATGATACGCTGACATGAAGCCGTCAGATGTGTAATCTAATACGACTTCAAGATAAACCGCGGATGTAGCCATACAAAGGAAGATCGCGAGCTATCCTTTATATGATTTATGGTCACGTTCTTTCCTTGGGCGCGGCGATACTGGACCGGCATAATCAATCCCTGTATTGAAAAATGCACGGCCAGAAGTGAGACGAGCTACTGGGACCTGACCCATGAGTGGATGAGCTCTTATTCCTCGCTGCGTTGCATATCGAACGCACTTGAAAATGAATGATTTTACAAGTGCTCTTCGATCAATAATCTAGTAAGACTGTCTGAACTGACCGATGAAGACTCCTTAGATGAGCTTCTTTAATGACCAGCTGAGGAAACTGAGACTCCTTCGGAATGGTAGCTTGATGTTTGCTATCATTGTCGAGTTGAGCAAATTTGAGACATCCACCAACACCAACAACTCCCTGGTGATCGAGATACGCTGCCAATCGAGTGAGTGGATGAGAAGGCGTGAGTTTTTGCCTTCTGGACAAGTTAATCAGTTCAGTCGAGAAATTCGCTGACAGACGAGTCTTGATCCAGAAGAGACGAGCTTGTTCCATTTCACCAGGATTGAGCGCGGTCTTTAACGAAGATTCTGGAGTTTTTCTGGGACGAGCAATGAAACGTTGGCAGAGTGCAGTAATCCTGAGCAACTTGGTGAGCGAGGAATAGCGATGCACTAAATCCCAGACTTCTGGGCGCCGGACCTTCACATTCAGCAGTACACCAGGTTTCTCTTTGAGATCAACTGATCCCACTGAAGAAAGTTCCAGAGATGGCCAATGAGTTGTGCTTTTCTTTAACCATGATGGACCTTGCCACCATAGCTCGTGTCATGCGAGTTGAGCTTGGGTTCCCGACGAGATGCGCAATCCACTGGGATCTCCTTGCCAGGAACGAGTTTCCACTGCGCTTCCGTCAATTATTGGATGAGCTGGACACGATTTCTAACTAATTCCTTCCATCTGCAAGGGTAAGATCCAATCCATGTGAGCGAAACTGAAGAGTCAGTCCATAAGAACGTCGGCACATTGGAGAAGTTGAGATGATATTTGACGCACTTTAAGAGCTTAGCAAGAAGGATTGCAGTTGAGAACTCAAGCCTTGGAATAGTCAGCCGTTTGAGAGGGGCTACTTTAGTTTTCGGGCAGACCAATAAAATAGGAGGTTCTTAGTTTCTATTGAACACCTTGAGAAAGATAACGATGGACATCGCGAGCTGAGAGGCATCTGAAAAACTGTGTACAACCGAAAAACCTCTACAACTGAGTTCTCCAGCACGCCAATCCATCTGGGTATGGATACGTCTTGATGAAAACTATTCCAACAACAAGCGATTTACGGAGAAACTTCATCATCCCAACCAAGCATCTCAATCCAAATCTCCTGCAAAGGCATCTTTCCTCTGATGACTACAGCAGACAGAAATCCGAGAGAGAAGAATACGATTTGAGACAAATGGAGCTGATTTACCGCCATGCATGACGGTGGTCAATTGATATGTTGAGAATCTTCGATTTGAGTTGGTCCATAAAATCTGCTAAAGTCATCTTCATGAACTCTAATCTCACGGAACATCTTGGCGATGTCCGTCATGAAGATGACTTCGTGCTGCCTAGTCCAGAGAAGAATATCCGATATATCGCCCTGCAGGTTGATCCCTGTGTGGAGTATGTCGTTGCGTGATTTTCCTGAGCTGGGCTTCGCTGATCCATTGAAAACAACTCTCAGTTTCCTTGTTTCGCTGCTCTTTCTGACTAAGCCATGATGGGGAAGGTAGTAACTTCTGAAAATGCCAGATGGTCCTACTTGAAGCCTCTCAGAGCCCTTGGACCTTCCTGAAGTCTGAGCTTCATGTGCCAAGGTCATCTCGTTAGAACGACAAGCGATCTCCACCTGAACCGAAGATGAAGAGCTAGAGGGA